ATTTCATCCATCTTAATTCCTATTTCAAGGAAAAAAAAACAAACAAACAAAAACAACATAAAGTTCCAATAGCTCAGGAAATACATTTAGCAAATGACAGAAAATTGTATTTAATAGAAGAGATAAACATTTTTGGAAGCAGTAAATAAACAAGAATTCTAACATATTCACCCACAATACAACAGCATCTCCTGAGGCATACCATACATTAACAGGACTTTAGACTAGAGATTACAATAAGTATCTGAATAAATATTGTTAAAATAACTGATGAAAGTTCATACATTTCTGATTTTTCCATGAACTTTTAAAACTCCGAAGTTTCTTTAATTGCAACTGCAGTAATATTTCCAGTCAGCTTCCAATCCAAGTTCTACATTCAACATTAGGCTATTTCACTTTGACCTGACACCATCTACCTGCTTAGGTGCAAAGAAATACATAAAACTATCACCAGTTTTATACAGACATTTAAAACATTAAACCACTTCTATAAATGTTTTACCTGTGCATATAAAAATGCTTGAAACAGTCCAAGTCACTGATGAAGAACACTCCTCCCACCTAGCACAACATAATCCTTGAACCTGTACATCAAAAACATATGTGTGACAATCACTACAAATGTCTAAGGCTTCACATGAGACAGTCAGAAATATCACATATATGCTCTCCCTGTTCTGACAGTCTCACTCACAAATGAGATGCAGTATTTTCTTCACTAAATGCTTTGAAAACCACTTCAACTGCAACTTCAGCTACCCCACAATCTAATTCTTTAACAGCCTGCTTAAAAGCTAAAAATATTTGCATAGCGCTGGTTTTCTTCTGATCCTCCAGTTATCATCACCCAAGAATATCTTTAGAATTAAATACTAAGAACATTCGATCATTACAAAAAATATTTTAAATATATGACTTGTCATTTCTTCCTTTTTCTTTCTGTCTTTTGACAAACACTAAGTTGGAAAAAATCCAATTCTAGCTACTTAAGCAGAAAAAATATGCACTCATCTTTGATGTACTTTGCTTTACATAAAAATAACTTTGAAAAAAATTAACTTATACTATTACTAAAAAAAGTAGCTACAATCAAGTTACTGAAAAAACAAACAAAACAACAGCTCAGTATTTTGATTGCTGAATAGTTCTGTGCAGAAAAAAACTGCACATAAACTACTGTGATCCAAGGGAACTGTGCATTTACCTCATGTTATCCTCCTCTTTCCTTTTTATTAAGGAGTAACATGAAAGACCACTTTTAATGGCATTTTACAGGTTCAAATAAATTAGTACACGAAAATTCATGACTATAATTAGCTTAACTATGGAGCATTTAAGGGCTAGGCTGTTGACTGAGACTAATACACATTAAAAAGCTTCAACAACAGTTATGTTGGAGAAGAAAGGAATTAAGCACAAGACAAACCACATTGATTTTAGTTTAGGTATAGAACTAGGTAAATCTTTTAATAGAGCGTGACTTTTGGGCAAAATAAATTGAAACAAGCAAAGCTTTCATATTGTTTCAAATCTGCCACGCTGTAGACATTTGCACCATCTTTTGAAAACTCTTTTATGCGGCTTTAAAGGACTTCCCGTCTTGTATTACCTATGCCAGACACATCTGATCACTTGGAACCTGGGATATGCTCCCCATGTCCTTATTAAAAGTTGCAATGGCTTCATAAGCCGACAGGCCTCAGTAAGTTACACAGAAACACTACACCCATTCACTGCATCCATTTCTGCACCACAGGACAGAACGCCTTTGGCTGTCAGCTCCTTCCAAATCGTAAGGAGCCCGAGAGGACTGCGCATCGTATTTGTACTTTTATGGAAGCAGCAGCAAGGTTACGAAACATCGCGGAGGCCTCGGGGTCAGGAGCTCGGCGCACAGCTCTGACCGGCGCTGCCGCGGGACCTGGAGCGCCGCTGCCACCCTCACAGGGCTCACGCTCCACGGCCACCACAGAAAGCAGCGTGGGCTCTACAAGCAACCACCGTGGCTTGTAGGAACCGGCCATAGGCGGCCCTTTCTGCACGTCTTTATTATAACATCAGACCCGGCAGCGGCAGGCGCGCCCTCTCGCAGGCTCCGCACTGGCGGGGCCGATGCCCCGGGCCGGGCTGGCACCCCCGGGCCGGGCTGGCATCCCCCGGGCCGGGCTGGCACCCCCGGGCCGGGCTGCGGCACCCCCGGGCCGGGCTGGCACCCCCCGGGCCGGGCAGCGGCACCCCCGGGCCGGGCTGGCACCCCCCGGGCCGGGCTGACACCCCCAGGCCGGGCTGGCACCCCCGGGCCGGGCTGCGGCACCCCCGGGCCGGGCTGGCACCCCGGGCCGGGCTGGCACCCCCCGGGCCGGGCAGCGGCACCCCCGGGCCGGGCTGGCACCCCCGGGCCGGGCTGGCACCCTCGGGCCGGGCTGGCACCCCCGGGCCGGCGCTCGGTTGGCCGCGCTGGCTCCGAGCTCACACGGAGCCCCCGGCCGAGCGCCGCAGGCCCCGCACCGCCGCTCCCGGGCCCCGCACACAGCCCGGCGGCCCGGGGGACGCCGCCGAGCCCTCCGCGCCGCCCGGCGCCTCGGCCGAGCCGCGGGGCCGGCGGTGCCGTACCGGCGGAGCCAAAGGCCCCGCGGGCGCGGGGCTCCGGCGGCAGCGCCCAGCGTGAAACCCCCTCGGGCTCACCGAGTGAGGGCCGGAGGAGGCGCCCGCCCCGCCGGGAGCCACCACCCCTCCGCCTCTCGCTCCCGGCCCCGCGCCGCCAGCCGGCTCCGCAGGCGGGGAGAGAGCGGGACGGCCGCGCCCCGGCGCCGCCCGCCCCCAGCCCGGGCCGCGGCCCCACCGCCGCGGGGGGAAGGAACTTACGAACACCCGCCGTGCCCGGTCCCGCCTCCGCGGCGCGGGGCGGCCGCGTCACCCGCGGGAAGGCGCAGGGGCGGGGCTGCGAGGGAGCGGGGCGGCGGCGCCGGGGCTCCGTCTGTGCCCGGGCTCGGGCGGCGCTGCCGGGGTACGCGGGGCTCCGGGCTCGGGCAGCGCTGTGCTGAGTGACGCCTTCCCTCCCCGTCCCAACCTGCGCTCCCAGCCGATCCCCGAAACTGCTGGGTGTCAGGCTGTGGAATAGGGCCTTCGAGGGGCAAGTCAGAAAAAGGAATCTCTACAAAGTACTGTGCTGGAAAATAATCGTAAGGGACTTGAAAGCAGTGGGTCAGAGAGGGTGCAGATGGCTGAATATGAGCCAACCTGAAGGCCAGTGGCCTCCGGGCCTATATCAGCAATAGTGTGGCCAGCGGATGAGGACAGTGAGTGTGCTTCTGTACTTGGCAGTGGTGAGGCCGTTCTCAAGTACTGGCTTTGGGTTTGGAGCCCTCATTTTAAAGCAAACATTGAGGTGCTGGAGTGTGTCCAGGTAAAGGCAGTAAAGCTGGTGAAGCATCTGAAGTACAAGTCTACTGGAGGAGCTGCTGAGGGAACTGGGGGTGTTTGGTCTGGAAAAAAGGAGGAACAAGGAGAACCTAATTGCTCTTCAGAGCTACCTAAAAGGTGGTTAGAGTGAGGTGGGAGCCCATGTTGCAAGTAAAAAGTGATGGAAATGGCCTCAAAGTTGTGACAAGGAAGGTTTAGTTTGGATATGAAGCAAATTATATTGAGTATCCTCACAGCCTCACATAGCATGTACAAGTAATCAGGCCCAGCTAGCATGGGTTTATTAAAGGCAGGTCCTGATTGACTGACCTGTTCCTCTGTGACAGGGTGACCCACTTAGAGGACGAGGCAAAGGTTGTGGATGTGTCTACCTGGACATCAGTAAAGCCTTTGACACAGTTTCTCACAGCATTCTGGAGAAACTACTGCTCATGGCTTGGACAAGTGTGTCCTTCATTGTGTAAAAAAACTGTCCAGATGGCCGGGCCTACAGAGAGTTGGTGAATGGAGCTACATCCAGCTGGTCACTGGTTACCACTAGTCAGTGGTGTTCCTCAGGGCTCAGTGTTGCAGTCAGGCACATTTAATACCTTTATTCATGATCTGATTGAGGAGACCAAGAACACCCTCAATCTGCTTACATGGATTGAGCTTAAGTGGAAAGTTGGAAGGCTCTGCAGAGGGCTGTGGCCATGGATCTGCAGAGGGATCTGACCTCACCATGGGGTGAGGCTAGTGGTACAAGGTTCAAGAAAGCCAAATGCTGGACCCTGCACTTGGGTCACAACAACCCCTGCAGTGCTACAGGCTGGGGGGAGAGTGTCTGGAAAACTGCCTGGTGGAAAAGGACCTGGGAGTATTGGTGGACAGCAGTTGAACATGAGCCAGTGAGCGCCCAGATGGGCATCAGTCCCTTCTGGCCCCTTCAGGGGAGGGTTAGATTGGATATTGGTAAGAATTTCTTCTCCAGAAGGGTTATTAAACACTGGAACAAGCTGCCAGGGGCAGTGATGGAGTCACCATCCATGGAGGTATTTAAAAGATGTTTAAAAAGGTGATTAAAAGACATTTGACTTAGGAACATGGTATAGTGGTGGACTTCATAGTGCTGTGTTAACAGTTGGACTCAATGATCTTAAAGTCTTTTGCAATCTAAATTGTTCTATAATTCTATGGTTCTCTGAAAGGAAAAATGAAGGTGTGACAGAAATAGGATAATATGGAATTTAAGAAAAGGCTGAAAGGAGAAGCTATTTGTGCAGGAGAGAGGTGGGAAGGCACAAAAGAAAGAAGGGGAGTGTATAATGTAGGTATGAAAAGAGAAACAACATTCAGAATTAAAAAAAACCAACCTCTTTTCTTGACATCCTTCTAACCATCTCTTCTACCATGTAGATGTTACATGTGGGGAAGAAAAGGACTTCTGTCTGCACCACTTTGAAGTTTATTGGACATGGAGGCTACATCCTTTTCCAGTCTCATCCTGTGATGTAGGACTGTCTCCATCTTCACGAGCTCCTCTTGCATGTGTTCTGCCAAGACACCTCTATCTCCCAAGAGCCTGCACTCAGCACAACTTTCTACCATAGCCCTTTGCTGGAAGAAGGGGTGACAGGGATCCCTTAGCCACAGCTGGAACAAAGAATCTGTGGAAAAGCATTGACACAGCTTCTGGGAAGTGGGAGTAAAGTAAAGAAGGAAGTGGTGTTAAGCTAAGAACTTAATTCTGATGGTTTTTGCAATCATGTACTTAGCATCACAATGCTGTCATGGTAAGTCCAAAAGCACCAAAAGTGGAAAAATAAATCAGTGTGGGAGAAGATAGCAGGAATTGGAAAGTCCTCCAAATATTCACACTTCTTTTCATGTATCTAAGGCTGAAATTTGAACTGTATAGGTATAGACAGTATGCTAACAATTAGAAATATATTTAAAATGTTTGTGCAGTTTCCTGAAAACCCATTTCTGCAGTTTGCTGCAAAGTGAGAGCTAAGGAAGCAGATATCCTGAGTACCTGACACTTTTTTCTAGTGTAGCCAAACAATAAAAAGAAGTTTAAAAATTAGGCTCTTTTTGAACTCAGATTTCCTGAAATTAAATGTGAATTAGAATTAGTGATTCTGAACATAAGCACAGTTTTTTGAATACAGTAACTGCATCTTGGCAAATGAAATTTATGGTGATAAAACAGGTGGACTGGCTCAAAGTAATTTCAGAACATTTATGGTATGATACTTTCCTTCACTCATGTGTTCCACTTGGAAGTTCTGTATCTGTATCTATAATAACTGTTCTGGTGCTTCAGAATACTTCCTTTAAAAGTCATTGGCAATTTCAATAGGAACTGAAGTTTAAAAATAAACATACTTATTCTTCACCTTTATGTACCACTAAAGCTGAAGTGGTTTGCAGTTACAGAGCTTATCAAATACAGTGAATTTGAAGGTGAGTCTTCCAAATGGTGTTAAATAATTATATTTCCTTTTGGATTTATACAAGTCCTAACTGTTGCTTAGGCAAAGTATTACTATATCCATTGTATGTACTGCCTTTCTGAACCACAGATGTGGCATAATGAGCATACGATGGTTCTTGATATGTTCCGTGCCACTTGGAGCAACACAAAATATACTTTCCAATATGCACATGTTGTGTTTGTGTCTTTCCCAACTATTAGTTTTCATTTAAAAATAAAATTAAATGCTACAGTAGATTTATCTGTTGCTGGTGAAAAAGCAAAGAGATCTGATGACAATATAAGCTTAATGTATAGACTATTTTTAGTATTCACAGAAAATATCAGTAATTTCTATCAGGGAGTGTATTAATTTTCCTCAAGCCTTACTTCATTATATACTGTAGAAACTTAGTAGCAGTGATAATTAATGTCAATCTGGAATATCAAGTTTTAAAACAATACTGGGAAGATAATTCATTGTGACTAGTTGAAGAAAATATTTTTGGTGATGTGGTACCTCAACATCTGAGCTTATAATCAGTAGTACTGTTTCCTGAATATTTTTCAGAAAAGTGTGTTAGTGATCTCAATTTTATTTTACAGGCCTTTGGGAAGGAGTTTTTCTTAGAAATGCAGTAATAGAATGAGTTCCTGCTTAGAACTGAAAGTAAGCAGACCTTAGTCACCAATAAATAATACCATAGGAAAAAATGAAAGCTGTGACATCTGATGAAGATAATACTTTCTCTTTTTACAGCCTACAGTGGACAAAGAGCTCCTGTTTTAAAGATTACACTGGTATTGATTTAGAAGAGTGGGAGTGTATTATCAGATAGAATAAACTGAAGAGTATACCTACATGATTAAGAGTTTTATGATGTACAGTATTAATGTGCACTACTTAGAATTCAGGGTAATAAAAAATACAAAGTTGCAATGCTCATATTAATTTTTTTTATATTTAACAATGTGTCATATTTTCAGAATTAAATCAATAGAGGTGTTTGCACAGCAGTGCTTTTGCCATGTATCAGTGCAAGTGGAAATGCCAAAACATGGTCATAAAGAAAGGAACCATTATGTTCTGTGATACTTTGAATTGGAGCCTTTTTGGAGACAGTAGCAGCAACAAACAACTGTAATACTTCCCACCCTCCCATAATCTGTGAAGTTTCAGAACATTGATCATTACCTTACTGTTCTCTCTTGCACTTCAGTCTGCATGGAGGAATTTTACATCACTAGTAAAGAAAATCCTCCCACATGCAGTAAGGTATTACTGCATAGTACAAGTTTGCTTTAGACCAAAAAGAATCATTTAGGTTGATGTTGGTTTCAGTATTTAAGTTTGTAGTACTTCAGAACACTGTTTTTTAAAGATGATGAAGGTACTTAAATCCACTGCACTGGTGCACAGACTCAAAGAAGTTGGGAAACTTGGACAATATCAAACACAAGCTTTGAAAAACCTCTTAGTACCAGACTTCTGCTTCCCACAGATTAGGCCTCCTGCTGACTATTTGTACTTTTTAAATGTGTAAGAGATTTAAGCTTTAATGTCTGCACCTCAGTTCACCTACCTTTGAAACAGCAGTGGTAATTCTGACTTAAATATTGTGATGATACATTAATAAATATGAGCAAAACTCTTTGAAGTTGAAAAATATAATGAGATTTAAGTAAATTCCTTTTTGTTGTGATTAACCTGTCAGACATTTAAGTACTGAAACACTGCTTTTGGAATAAAAAAAAAAAAAAAAAAAAAAAAAACAAAAAAAAAAAAAAAAAAAAAAAAAAAAAAGAAAAAAAAAAAAGAACAAGCAACTAAAATAAATACAGGGGGAAAAA